CAGTCAAAAATTAGCTAAGAATAGGAAACCCTAGCTTTGTGGTGGCCGACAATTTGCGAGAAATAAGATGTTGGAGTGAAAAGGGTTTTGTAGAGAAGAGACCGAATGTTCAAATGGTGGTGATGGAGAGAATTTTTGTCGCCATAATCAACCTTAGGTATTGACGGAATATAAACTTTCTGTGGGAAGGTGGTATTTTGAAACTTTTTGGGTGGAAAAGTGTCATTAAGGCAAATGTTGGGTGGGAAAAGTTGTTTACTCATTAAACAAAACAGGTTTAGAAGTTAATTTTATTTAGTATGGGCTTAAAAAGATATTAAATGACCTCTGCCGTCAGTTACAAGCCCAAACTTAGTGGGAAGGTCCATGGAGCAATGACTAATTGGGCTTAAAACAAAGGCCTGGTTCTAATTGAAGTGAAAGCGTGTAATATTTTCTACTTGTACTAAATTAGAATAACAATGGTAGGCATCCTTAACCATCCAAGATCCAATTATATCCCCATGACTTAATTTCCCATTCTCCTCCCTTTGTCAGGAAAATAATTGTCACTTTGTTTACATATATAAGTTCGATAAGGATTTCGTCTTCTTTAGCATGATTTATATTGTATGATTAGCCATTGTTATTTTAGATTTATATTGGAATAATGATATCACATAAGCCTACCATATACTATTTATTTAACTAAATCAATTACAAATATCAATGATGTTGAGTGACTTCAACTTTAAGCACCAAAAGAAAAGGTTTTTACAATCCAAAGATTACTATGATGAATAATTCTATCAGTATCAAGTAACTCTAATCATAAACATCCTCTAGTCTTTGAAATTGTAAGGAATTCTAGAAACTCTTTTGCTTTACTGCAGCAATTAATTATTCCATTATATTCTGTAGTTAAAAATATTTCTTTTTAAGTTCTCATTTACGAATGAAATCATATTATAAAATATCCATTTGTACATTCATTTTTCTCATATTATGAAAATCCGCATCAACTTGTGAAAGAATTGAGTATGATATATGCGTAATTAATGAAAATTAGCAAGTAATAAATTAAACTACAAAGTAAAATAATCAAAGAAGATTTTTAAAGTAGTTTAGCGACTTCAAATCAAACCTATGTCCATTTGAAATATAACTGTTCAACAGCTCGCTCCAAGCTACTGCTTGCTGCGAGCTGATCGCGCATCCTTGCACAACATTATCTATTCAACTATTGTCAAGATTTACAATTATATTTAAGAGATATATATATGTATAATTCATTATCGATCATCCTACCAAATTTTTTGCAAATAGTTCTCAACTTAGAAACTAAATAATTTTTTTCTTACACTTTAATATTTAAACATCAATCCTTTTAATAATATGATCTCAACAAACCATATGCCTTTTTCCCAGTATGGGTTAAAAGCATAATCACAAGAAAAAAAAAATTTGAAACGTTAAAGTAAATATTAAAAATATAAAAGAGAGTATCTGACAATATCTCAGCGTTAACTAAAAATATTCCTTTTTTTCATCTCCAATCACCAGAAATATTCCAAAAAAAATACAAACACTTTGTAGTTTGTACAAAAACAAGTAAGAATCTTGTGTGCAAACACCACCAAAACAAAGGTTGCTGCCGACCGCCCATTCTGTGATTCTTCAATACATTAATTGCTTAATTATCAATTTAATGTATAATTACCTCATTAATTACTTAATTTGGCCGACCCTCTTCCTCTTACCATCCAACTAATCTTGTCTCCTTCATATATTTGAATACCATATTCCACGTGGCAATTACAAATGCATTTGTATGCTTATGTGTGTCTTCTCTTTATCATGGCAATTTGTTTTAAATAATCATCGTTTAGAAAAGAAAAGGATTTGGTGGAGAAATTTCTGTATGTAGTTTTCAATTTTTTATATTATATAGTGATGGGGTCAATTTAAGCATCTTCCTTTATGATATATATATATATTAATAAATTTGACCTAATCACAGGCTGTAGGTAGAGCCCTAATTAAATAATAGTTAAATGAATTGGGTTAATGAAAATAAGTCAACAAACTTATGTACATGATGTGAAAAGCCCTAACAGCCCATGTGGATATCATCTAAGTAGGGCCCTTTTTGTCTATATCAATATAATATATGGTGGGATGTCTTTGCATGTATCATTAATTTGAGAAAAAAGAAAAGGACAAGTAGACTAGAACCCTAAACCCTTCAAATAAAAAGGGGAACCAAAAATTAATTATAACTGTATGATCTGACCTTATAACTGCCTTAGCTAATGCAAATTTAATGGCATTCAATAAAATTTTAAAAGCTGAGAAAGTGACCCATAATGGTGTGTTGATGTATAGGCGGAATCTGGCTTTTCCATACATTGTCGAATATAAAATCCAATATTAATTATAACTCTATGATCTAACCTTATAACTGCGACTGCCTTAGGTAATGCAAATTTAATGGCATTCAATATTTGAAACTGAGAAAGTGACCCACAATTGTATTATTGACCTAAAATGTGGAATAATATATAAGTTTTTTTTTATACTCCCACCAATCATTTATATAATCTATCTTATTTTAAACCAGTGAACTTTTCACACTAATGTACATCACTCCACATTTTTATTATTAATCTCACATTTAATTGTTTTTTTGGGTAATCGGGGTGTTAGATCTTTACACGTATTTAAATTAATCTTCGAAGTCCATTAACACATCCTGCAAGCCCAAAAACCGATAAACCATAATTTTTATCGTGTAAGTGACACAATTTTTGAACCTAGAAACTCAAGAAAAAAACAAACTCCATGACTGCTAGACCAATCTGATTGTCTCAAATTTAATGTACTTAATACCTTCTCTCCACTTTATTTTCACGATTTTATATACCGTGCCCTCTCTTATGTTATGTTGAATCTTTTAGTTTGTCTAAGTAAGCCACCCTGCAGCTTTTGTGGTGAATTGAAGGAATACATTGCCGTTTTACAAGTTCTATGGTCGAAATCGAAACACGGAAAGCAGAATTTGGGTTTCGGGTGTGTATGGAACAGAAGTAATAATCAAAGTGAAGAGCTGCCTACCAGAGTTTGAATAAGACACTTTAACTAAAATGCATAATTGGTGCAAAGCGACCTCCCCTTCCTTTTTTTAGGGAAAGAAGTTGAGGTAAAAGCAATAGTATTATGGAGATGCACATGGCCCTGTAAATGCCAAGCACGATTTTGGAAGATAACTTTTTTCCCATTTTTTCGGATAGAAATCGCTTTTTAGAATGGAAACTGACTGTAAGGCTCCCATGAAAATGTTTAGTCTTTCCTCTTGAGTGAATATTTTTTGAGACAAGAGACTCGCACTTCCCATACAAGTAAGCCCAGTATAAGTTCCACTCAGTCCAAAGGAAGATTCTCAAATGGCTATTTGACAGAAACAGCAATTATGGGATGATAGTGGATTAGAAATAGATCTGATTTCATTCAAGTGTTTATTTGTAAATTTGGTGTGGACCAAATCGTATGGTTCATATAATAGTCGATCCGACGCTTTAAAATTGAATAATTTTGCCGGATTACTGAGCGTCCCCATGCCGGATGGTTAATTATTGAAAAGGGGTTCAAAAGAAAGATACAGTCCACAGACCCAACCATAGAAAAGAAAAAGAAAAAAAGCACTCGGAAGAACTTTGATTTGAAGATTCATGAAGGAAATAATCTGAGAGGGTAAAAATCAGTTGTGGGGAACTGACATGTTTTTGCAGACTTTCACAAAAAAATATTGAATTGAAGGAACAACAGTCAACAGCACCGCCAACTGCATGCATTCTCAAAATTGAAAGAGACTTAAAGCTGACTACACTTTTTGACTTTTTTGATGAAGAATAGCAGGGCAGGATCAACATTTCCAATTCCAATGAAAGACTCTGTGTGTGTATGAGCGTGAGGTATACACTAGACAGTAAACAGGTTTTGAATTCAAAAACCTAAATTAGTGAGCACATGATACCAATCCCACCAAATATTTTTAATCAAATGAAGGGGGGAATTGAATCCCCGATCGACACTTTGGGACTTGGAAGAAGACAAAACCACCAGAGGCACACCATAATAATAATACACAGTTTCCATGTATAGCTCTGGAAGTTTTGTTAGTGTCAAGACATGGAGAACAATGGATTAATTATACAGAGATCCATTATCTGAATTGACACCATATAATCATATACAAATATGGATTCACAAGTAAGAAGAAAAACTGAGATATAGAATGAGAAGAATTCTGAAATCAAATACAAGTAAAGTGTCATGATTATACTATAAAATGGAAAAGAAAGCAAAAGTATGATAGTTAAAGAAGAAGAGAAGAGATAATAACAATCAAAAACCCCAAAACCAGCCATCACGAACACCACAAAGCAATCTGTAAGCTGTGATGATAATGTTCAACCAATTCATCCCTCTATACATTTCTCTGCAACCTAAAACCTTTCTCTGCCATTTTTATTTCACAACTCAAATATTCATAACAATTCAAATAATATGGAGAGACTTTCTCCTCTACCTCTCTCTTCTTTTTCTTTTTCACCTCTTCGGGATCATTCAATTCCAATAACTGCACAAAACTATTTTTAATCTCCAATTTCAATTCTTTATTTTTCTTCCTCCACAGACGACGAGAATTGCCCAACCAGAGAGGATGATAAAGCCGACTCCGTAACTATGTTTGTGTAGTTGATGAAAGGTTAGAGGACGAAAATTCTCAAAAGAATCAATAGAAGGGTGATGGCGGCGAAGCGTATGAGACTCCAATCACTGGCGGCAATTCCCTTCATATACTGGGTGGAGGTGGCGGTGATGGAGAGTGTGGTGGTTTTTCACATGAACTGGCGGTGGCGCGATGGTGTTGGTGGTGATTGTAATGAACTGGTGGTGGAGGTGAACTGTATGTGGGTGGTGGTGTGGTGATGACTGGTGGGGTAGGTGAGCTGTAATGAACCGGTGGTGGAGGTGAAACTGTAGTGAACTGGCGGTGGGGGTGGTGAACTGTAGTGAACTGGTGGAGGTGGTGAAGCTAGACTACAGGTGGTGTGGTGGAGATGGTGATGGTGGTGCGCTTGTAATGAATTGTGTGTGGCGGCGTTGGCGATGGTGGCGGCGGGCGGTGGTGAATATTCAGCACATGGGGGTGGTGGGGTGGAGGTGGTTCTATACAAGGTTGTGGAGATGGTTGTGGCGGTGAATGGACTGGTGAGAGGTGGAGGAGGTGGAGGTGTAAGTATGGAAAAACAGGGTGGGGTTGAATGTGGTGGTGGTGCGGTTGAGTGTGGTGGGAGAGGGTGAGTGTTGTGCGGAGGTGGTGAGCTATAATATAAGGGTTGGTGGTGGTGGAGAGAATACTGGAGGTGGAGGTAATTTGGTGGAGGCTGGTGGTGGTGAACGGACACATGGGGGCAAGGTGATGGTGGCGGAGGAGGAGTGTATGAGTAAACTGGTGGAGGAGGTGGTGGTGGCGGTGAGTAAACTGGTGGTGGAGTGAGGAGGAGCGGTGGTGAATAAACTGGCGGGGTGGGTAGGTGTAAGGAGGCTGCGGGGTGGAAGGTAAACTGTGTTGGGGCGAAAGAGTGGAGTGGTGGTGGTGTTGAGTAAACTGGGGGAGGAGGTGGTGGTGTGGTGGTGGTGGGAGAGGTAAACTGGGGTGGAGTGACGAAGGTGGTGTGGTGGGTGGTGAGGAAACTGGGGGTGGAGGTGAGGGACCACAACAGGGAGAAGGAAACCGGCTTGTGGTGAAGGGGGAGGTGAGGTGGCAAGAAGGAAACAAAAGGTTTACTCTAAACGAAGAACAATCCACACGTTTAGACAAGAACGACTTACATTGCGCTGCCGACCTCTGTACCGGCCTAGACGGTAAGCATTCCTTCTATCATCAAACGACTGTAAACTCAAGCAAACCGGCGGTTCTCCGGTGAAAATTGTAAGAGAAGGTAAAGTTCTCAAATTTGGCAACTGACAATGCTTTTGGAATGCTTCCAAGCAATTTGTGGCCCCATTGAGTTGCTCAGACTCAACTTTCCTCCAATTGTGTTTGGCAAAGGACCCATAACTCATTATAACTCACTCAAAAACCGTCAATTCTTGAGCATCCCTATCTCCTGTGGCAACAAGACCTTAACCCATTATTCATAGAATTTCATTCAGTCTCGACATGTTACCAAGACTTGAAGGCACACAGCCGTGGAATTTGTTGTTGGCCGGCGATTACTGAAACTGGGGAGTTCCGAATTGTCCGGGATTCAAATCTGAAACGATTGCTGTTGATAAGATACATCTAAATCTTTGTCAAAAAGCTCCTTAGGTACAGTGCCTTCAAATTCGTTGAATCTGATCCAGAACTTGAGTTGAGGCAGCTTGAGAACTACATTTGGGAACTTACCGGCAAAACCTGTTGTTGCTAATCCAGCTCATACGGTAATTTGAGGTTTTGAAACTTGTGAGGAACAGTACCGCAAAACTTTGGAGTTGAGGTGAAACAATGCAAGATCAAAAGAAGACCTAACTCTTCAGCAAATACCAAGCGATATCACCATGGTTAAGATCAATGCCAGCAACAGTTCGGATGGTCTTATTATCAGGGCACGGGCACAGTAAACTGCAGTGTAGTTGCAGACATCAGAATCAACCCAATCTGCAGTTAAATGTAAGGATCAGAGGATAGCTTCTTTCCAATCTTGTAATGCTATATAAGCATTTTTTATTCTCGAGTTTCAAAACAAGAGAAGTGTCTACATACTCTCACTCCCCTCTGTCACCAAACTCGTCCTGTAGTAGAGAGCTGCGGTGTTTGATGTACTGCGCTTCTGCATTCAGTGAGGCCTCCATGGGTTGTATGGGCAGCTGGTCAGCAGAGCAACAACACAACTAGTGTGCTGAGAAGAAGGCAATGAGCAAGTAGAATGAAAGAAAGCGTGAAGATTGAAATGAGTCTTTCTTCTTCATCTCACATGGAGACTATCTATTCCAAAATGCCACTTTTTTGTTTTCTTAAGCTCTTGGTATTCAAATTCCGAAGCTGCGACTGCAAAACAAATGCTGGCTTGATATCTGAGGCAAACGTGGGGGAGAGGAAGGGGTTTGGTTTGAGAGGAAGGAAAGAAGGTGAGGAGAAGAGGAAGTGAGTGAGTGGTTTTTTCTAGGGATTTTGGAGATATGGTGTGTGAGAATTACTACTCAAGAGACGCTAAATCACAGCTCGGCCCACCAGATTCTCTCTCTCTTTTATTTTATGTAAATCTCTCTCTCTCGTCTTGACAAGTTGACTTTATTCCTTTAATCAAATTCTCTCTCATTAAGCCTACAAGTGGAAGTTTCGAATAACCCCTATAACCCCTAGATATATATAATACTATAATTATATACAGTATTAAATTAACTTTATTTGTTTTAATTAATCAAGTCGTTACAACTAATAATTCAAAGTTGTTAAGATGAGTCGGTGTTCTGGATCCGGCGAGGGTTGACCTGATTTTTTTGAATATGCAATTTAACCACAGATTAATATATATTAATTTCCTAAATCTGATTGGTTGACATCACGAGATCATTTATGAAAATGTATTCCAATTTCACGAGATTTTTTATACTTAGGTGGTGGACCTGTAGAGTGGACGAGGCATGCATCCACTTTAAGCCGGGTGGTGGAGTTGTTTTTTTTTGTTGTTTGTGTCTCTTGTCAAATCAATTTTTAGTTCTAGTAACCTTTTTTGTGAAATGACATATTGGCCTTATGCGTTTTCATTTCTCGGTGCACAGCGGCAGATCAACAACATCCTGTTGGCTTTTTATCCTTGGGTTCCTTTTCTTCATTTCCCAATTTTTATAAATTGATTATAATACAAGAAATGTTACTGCATTAAATAGGGTGCCACCTACCTGAAGTTCATTCATTACAATGATAATTAGGTCACATTCACCACAACAACACTCCTCAACTTATTTTTATAAGAAGTTATTTTTGTTATTAGTGTTACGTGTTTTTTTTGCTGGTATTCATTCCTGTGCAATACTAAATGAAAAAACGACAGTTTGAAATTAATTAGGCAATGGGATAATATCTTAACGTAATTAAAACATAACGTTAAATCTACAAATCTCTGAACAGCAATTAAAGACACGTAAAGTAGTGATGCATGCATGCATGTTCCAGTCCATTTCATCACCATCATAATCAACACATCACCTGCTTACTATTAGTGTATAAATACAATTTAATAGTGCCGTTTGGCGCAGGGGTTAAGTGGACCCCTAGCGTTTCCACCTCAAGTGTCCGATGTATAGAAAACGACATACCCAAGTGGCCCCACGTCCGCGTCCTACACGGCTGGATAGTCGGCGCTCAAGAGGACACACCCTTTGAGCTCTCATGAGTGCACCGCGTCCGGTCCTCGTCACAGCGTCACCGCACGCTCGCTCGCCCCACATATAGCATCATATTCATGGCTAAACATGGTTATTTGACTAATTGCCCTTTTCCTTGATCAACACAACAGACAACACATGTTTTATTTTGGACAAAATGCCCTTTCTTACTTAAACAACAGTTAACCACCGTTAACGCGCTTTCGCTTATTTGGCGATGCTTGGTGACGTCTGATGGAACTCTCCAATTTTGAAATGCTTCGTTGTGATCCGTTAGATTTATTAATATTTTTGTTCGTAAAAGCCAAGTTTTGCTTTGTTTTCTTTTTGGAATTATATATCGGGTCACCGATATAGAATGGACATGTGGCCGAAATAAACAATAATATTTTTAGCTTTGAAATCCATCACAATCATCCAATGATTAATTAGTTTCAAAAGTTTTTTTTGGGGTTTTTTTTTTAATATTAGCATCTACGCTAAATTGCTATAGATATCTCAGTAATTTCTACATATTAACAAGTAATATGGGTTTTAGAGATTTAAGTAGTAAGATGTTGAAATGGAAGTGTCTTAATTTTATTTAGTCAACTATTTCTATTCGCATATAAATTGATAAACTATTTTATAGATAAAAAATCAAGAACGATAGATGTATCATTTATAATGTTTCTCTTAAAATTTTGATGTATTTGTTCTTAATTTGTTTAACTTACTTTGAACAGGAACGAGATCTACTGTAAATTAACTAATACGAATTATCATGTCGAAAATATGTAAGAGGAAAAAAAATTGTTGTATTGAATTGTAAGTAAAATATTATTCATAAAATTTAAACTTTATTACTATTACTTTCTAGAGAGAATAATTATTTCAACACAGATGTGGAAAGATTTTTGTCCATCAAACATAATAGAGTCATAAACATCCATGGCATCATTTGAAATTAAAGCGTCAAAATCAATAACTCACAATCAACTTCTCCATATATGTTCTAATGTGTGCCACTCAATATATCGCATGAAGATAATTCTACATATTAATAAGGTTGACAAAATTACAAAAGCATCGACTACTGCGTATTTAAATCACGTTTAAATAGGACAATAATGTGCATTATCTTAATATTTTAGTGACGCATATATTGCATTAATATAAGTTCATGCAACGTTTCATTGCTATTTCACATCTATAAAACGGTGGTTTTACCTTTTCAATACCGTTCAATTTGAGACACAATTTAGTTGAATTCAACAACCATGGGTTAGTTTTAATAGTAAATAGAAAAAATATTATTATTATCTCTCAAATTCAAGTATTTTTTTTGATGATAAAGAGTAGAAGAGTGATTAAATGGTAGTTTCTCAATCGAGTATTCCAACGACCTCTAATAGAGGTGATCACTAGAAAATGCTTATTCGATCGATAAGTTTGGAAAGTACGAAGAATTAATGAGTATCATTATACTAATTTAGACACCACTTTAAAAAAAAAAATTGTCCAAATTAACATTAATTCACTAGAATAACGACTATTACGCTTCGTTTGGTTGGATTTGGGACATACTATTTTAGTATTCCAAAACAGTTAACGGTTAAAATACCCAACAAACTCACAATTTATTAACTTATTCAATTTTTAAACCCTCATAAATTGTTAATTCAATTAAAACCCCCAAATATTTTTAATGTTTTTGTTACGCCGAATCTGGCTACCCGGCCGGGTGGTGGCGATGCTGTCGATTTGAGGGTGGATTGGGGGTATTTTTTGTTAACTTTAATGTTTTTATATGGGGTGTTTTGTAAAAAAATACATAGTGGGTATGTTTACAATTTGTAATCCTACATCGTAAGGAACCATTCCATTCACTTTTTTTTTTAACCTTTATTTACAAAAACGTTTTCCCAAAAACACAAAATGTGAATCAAACGGACTCAAAAAAAAGCTTGGATAAAATGATCCGCTGTTATTTAAAAAGTAATTCTACACGCCACTTATGTTAAGATGATAGCCTAACTATGAAGATAGCGTGGATCCACATTCACGTAGGATAGTAGAGCCTGCAGCCCGTACATGTTGCCAGCCACAAACCCACTGTTATTGGCTGAGTCATGACAAGTTGTCTTCCACTTAGAACATGCCATCAACACAGTCGTCATTATTTTTTTGGTAATGACTGACGGTGCCAACGACTTTCCTGGCCCATGTCCTTGATGACCAAGAAATTTCAAACGTTTACTGCGCCGTATTTGTCCACGTGTGGAACAGCTTCTAAAGTCAAATGAATTATTCGGTGCCCCCGCGATGTACCCCCAAGTTTTGCATTACTTCAAAACAGAAATGTTTCAATTTCTTTTTAACATATGTATGTTTTTTCATTTTCTACATTTAAATATAAATAAAATTTACATAACAATACCTAATTGTTCTAGTAGTTTATAGGAGATATCGTATATATTTATACTACTTGTACTTCTATTATGTTGGTTAAATATTACAATTGTTTATATGGTTTTAAAGGATATACTAATGAATTTAAACAATTATTCAAAAAAGATTGGTTACAAATTTGACATGGTATTATGTACAAATAGATTGAAATATAATAATAAAATTAATATGATAATAACATAAAACACTCTTGTGATGAAGAAGCATAGTTAATGGTTAGTTTGAGGGGAAAAACTAATTAGAAGTCAAAATGTAAGTACAATTATAAGATGGGGATTTACAAAAACAGTCACCTAAACTGACAAAGACGGCGCATGTGCATTAATCCCGTTAAAATAGGTCCAATCAAAGACGTTACTTAAATTCTTTTTCTGACTAAACTGGAGACTCGACAATGAATAGAGAGGGTGCACACAACGTGTCAAAGATAAACTGGAAAAATAAAATTGAAGCCGAAAGAGTGAAAAGAACAATGGGAAACAGGAAACGTGAGATGAAGAAAAAAAAAAAAGGCGCAATTTCCGGATTCAAATTACCCAATAATTCAAGACGTTCCCACCGTGTCCATGGTTTTCTCGTTGCTTTCGTCCGGCAGCTTAATTGTATTTTATGTGGGTAGCCCTTAGGGATGTAGGCCCCATTTTCCACGCGGATCACAGAACGAAATAAAAGTAAATCAATGACTTACCAAATGGGAGCCCCGATTTAAGTAGAGTAATGGAACTCTGTTGCCGATAACGTGTTAGTTTTGTGTGGCGTTGAAATCAACGTATCGGGCTACGACATGGAAATTCGTAATACTGCAATGCCAGGTCTCAACTTCGGCTCTATTAGGTTTAGTTTTAACGGAGCTACGCCTCGACAAAATAGTATGTTTTACTCATAATTTTGGCTTTTTCCTCTTCACCAATTTTAACATATGATTTTACTAATTGGTAGTCGTATTTTAAATAAGATTTAAATAAACTATATTAACATTAATTAATTATGAAGTTATTACGTAAAATTATAAGAAATTTTATTGAGAAAGATGATTGGTATAAATTTTTCCTTCACAAACTTTCCTTTACAAATTTCCTCCATACAAGGATTGTGGCTAATATCTACAATACAACCCCAAATAATGCATTTTACTATAATATTTTTTTCTAATTGAATCAAATTTTAGTTTTTTCTTCATTTTTTTTTTTATTTAAATTTATAAATAATAATATTTTACTAACCATCTTACAACAATCAAACTATATTTATTTTGTACAAGCCAAACTAGTTTTAAAAAAACCTAAATGTAATTAATACTTATCTTACAAAGGAATAAAATAATAGAAACGAAAGTATATAAGATATCAATGACACTTTGAAACAAGTTTCAAACTTCTTATTTTATTTTAGATAGTTAAGAATAAAGTGAAGAATAAAAATTAAAAAGAATAATTTGACAATGGTATTATATGATCTCTTATATTAAAGAGGATACATATGTGAGTACAAACGATTATAATGATTGTGTACTTTTCTATCCATAAAATCAAGTATTTATACAGTCAAACTTTGATGCTTGTTTGGTAGATGAAATATTGATTTTATTATTTTATTTACGAGGAATTAGAGTTTTGTTAGACCAATATGGAAGAGATAAGAGGGCAGTGTGGTCCGTGGTCCCTAAATACAACTGTCTAAAGATAGCTATTGCACTTGGTATGAAAGATAATATCTTTTCTGTTTCTGTTTTCATGTGATTTCTCCAATTGGGCTTTCTTACTTCCATACCCACATTCCCCAACATTCTCTTTCCCTTGGGCATGTGAACAAAAGACTTGATTTTACTGACCTCACCTCTAACCGAAGTTGATTCGCCATAAACGCGTATTTAGGCGAACCTTATAGTAACCAACCAACCACTCCATTACACAACATTTGAAAAAATGCCAACCTCACTTCTTCCCCAACGGCCTCTGCACTTGAATCTGTGGACTCCTTTTCAATTTTTTAATCATCTTCCTCTAAATTATGCTTCAGAATCTCAAATGATTGCCTGATTGCATTTTTAACAAATACAAGCATCTAACCATTTAAATAAACACCAAAACCTAATATACCGAACCTGGAGAGTGGGTTGTGGACTTTGTCATCTCTAACAACAACAAAATAAGACAATGCCGCTGCCTTAAACATCAAGAAACTTCAGCAAATATTTATATGTTTTCAATGTCCTTTCATTCATGCATCAGGGGCTGGGAGCAACAAAAAAGAACTTAAAACAGGTCATCCTGCAAAAGGAGGTGAAAAATTCCGTGAAGTTCAAAGCCTAATATTAAAAAGCAAAATGCACAGCATATGTCCCAGCTGTGAGACAGGTAAAGTATAGGTCAAGGTTTTCAATGAGGAGAAAGAGCGTTGAAACGATGGAACCCACTACTAAATTCTGGACCAACCCAACACTTATGGGCCATATTAGACTTAACGCTATGCAATTTCAAGTACATAATTATCATAGCAGATCTTTTTCATGTGGGTTAATGACTTTACAATACAAGGCTCTTCTTCTTCTTCAAATGAATCACCATAAAAACAATCCATACCAACAAGATATATAAACAGGATTCGATCGTTGTAGTTAAGCAAGCACTGCAGTGGTGACCCACAGATAAGATTAAACTACGATGAACCACCAACAGCCACCTTTCAATTCCTTTATTCGTGTCAAAATTTTTTTTTTTAAGTCACTCTCAGAAGGTTAAATAAAGGGTACAATTAAGGTAAATTAACCCCATAAAATTTCCATGAAAAATATCATCATATGATCGCATAGATTCTACTGAAAAAATGAAAAATAATTCTAGTGTATGACACCAGAACACGCTGTATCGATGTGGCCCAAGAAGGCTAAAAAAAGAAGGAAAAGAGAATAATATCCATTCCTGTAACATCAATTTGAAGTTTTGAACTTGGGCTCCCTCTAAAACAAAAATAGTAAATGTTTTCGGAATCACACAGAATGAATCAAAAAGGAAAAAAAAAAAAAAAAAAAAATTAAAGCAGAAAAGCAAGTCCAAGTTTCAACTCAAAAGCAGAGTTGTCAAAGAAGGAGAAAAAGCTGTAAACAAAAGGATGTAACAAAATGGTCACAACTCACAACTAAATATATGTTTGTGATTCCAAGATGAGTAGGCACATATGATCTATGAACTGAAAAATGCAGGATAGGCATAATGTGGTTTGGCTGACGAAATTGATAATCTTTACTCTTAAATATGACTGATTTTTCAAGAATCAATGTTGTATTGGTTCTTTTGGTTGCTTTGTATTTGACTTAACATTTTTATCCTGTGTGTTAGATATATCAAAAACCAGTATTTATCGTGAATCTTGATCTTGATGATAAATTTGATGGTACGAAAAGAAGAAAGACAATTGGGAGATTGATTATTGTTACGCATTCAATACACTCTGACAAACTTAATAGTAAAGTAGAAATCAGTCCAATTTTTGTCTAACCTCAACACTTCAAAATATTGAATCACAATAATAAGTCAAATAGTATTTAAGTTGCTATAACCTAAAAGAGTAATCTTGTCAGATAACTCTTAAATTACTTCATCAATGCCTCACCTGCCACTCTTTAACTAAAGGTGCTATTGCACGGCCTCAAGTCAGTAGACTACAGCAATATCCTTTAAATATAGTTGGGGAACAATTGGATTTCTCAATGTTTTCCTCTACCTCGCACATAATACAGTGGAATGAGATGTTGTAGCCAGCATGTGATCAAAACTTTCTAACATTATTTTATTTATTGCAAAACAAAATAATGACCCGGATGGAAGAGTTTTTGGTGCAGATCACAAACGAGTTGCACCAAAAATTATGCTATTTGGGCCAACTAGGTACATAAACACCAAACTTACTTATTGAAGTCCTAGATGTGAAATTATATACAACTCCAGTATTTTATTACTCTTTACAATCCTAATAAATTGGACCTCTAATTCCAGGGCTATGGACAACACCTGGCCTGATCCATTATTCACCACTATCACACCACAACACACCCTTACTAGCAAGCAGATATATCCGGTAATGGGTCCGTTTCTGATCTCTTTGAAGTGAAAACCGACATGCCTCAAACTGGCATCTTCAATAGACAAAAAACGTTCTTTCCCCATGATGTCGTGAACTTTGACAATATCATTTTTTCCATTACTTCAATCCTTGGATTTATTAGCGAAACCTGTTCAAAACCAAAAAAAAAATTATTACTAATTTTCCCAAGTGTTCGATATAAGGATGGATATTAACTAAAGGCTTTTGAGAGGAATACCTTTATACGCTTTGCTTCAAGAATTCTGTTTATTTCAGAGAGGGATGAAATGCCTGTCATGTCTATGGACGAAACTCCTGCAGAATTAACCACAATCCATCTCATTGGATTCATTTTGATGAATGAATCTTAATCTTTTGACAGTGGAAGGAATCAAATCCTACCTGACAAATCTAGCAACACATGCTCAATGGTATTCGATCCTGAATCAGACAGTTTCTCTTCGTCCCGAATCCATCTCAAAATCCTGCAAAAATTAACCAGAACAATTCAGATTTTGCTCTGTACATTAATTTATCTTTCCACCAAAACACACCCACACACCCAATTACCTCTCTCTTAAGTAATTGCAGTTTGCAAAGTAAATAGGGGAACCCAATTGTAGAA